GTGTGATACTATCACTTCAGGCTAGAACTTTGGTTCTCTCATGCAATTAGGGGAAGCTCAGTAATCCTCATCGCATGCTCATGACGCTATTCTGCCACGGCATGAGTCAACGATGCCGGACCTAAACCAACCGTCTCCAATGCTCCAGCATAAGATTAGGCCCGCCCACCAACGTCCAGGTTAAAAACTAGCCAAGGGGAGGGGGTTGAGTACTTTTAACTGAATCGAATTCTTTTTTTTTATTTTTTTAGTTTTTGAGTTTTTTAAACTCAATGTTGAGTTTTTTTTCTTACCGTGTTTGTTAATCTATTACCCTAATTTGGGTTAACCATTCTTAGCGTGTTAAAAGTTTTCTTCCTGTCAGTTGCCAATTGACAAATCCATGTTTCAATCGACCACCGTGACGCTGCAATCGCAGCGGTGATAAGTTCGAAATAATGTGTCAAACTGAATACATTTTTGAAATTTCAACCAAAAAACCATTATTTTCTATTTATTCTAGCGAGTTTCTGTGGAAGTCAAAACATGATCCGAGCAAAAAAGTAGTACTCGTAATAATGGTATATAATGCTGAATTTTATCGTGCTTTGTTTCGAAAATATCTTCCACATAAACAAACATCATCCAAATCACCCGAATCGTCCACCGACTAAATCTATTGTCACTTAAAAATTAATTTCAGTCGGTGTATTAATCAGCAGATTAAATCGTTTTTCGTCTGGTGCTACACCGAGCAATCGGCCTATTTAATAGTTTTTCGTCGATTGATTTAGTCGGCCAACTTTGTCTGTTGTTTAATCGGCAGATGATTTCAAACCTTAACATGTTTTCAGTAATTTATAAGTCTTGAAGTAGCTTTTTATTTAAGAACAATGCATTACAAAATAGTTTTATGTATTTTGTACAAGATTCATGCATGTTGACAAGAAATTTTCATGAAATTACATTGAAAATAAATAATTTTGCAAACAATCAATGAAATTTTCAAGGGCTGTCACAGAATTATCACCGTCGGTTAGTGCTTATTCCTGCCACCAGGCGCGCATGAGTTTAAGTTGGATTTCTCAATATGGTATACCGTTCTTGAAAAATGTGTAAAAAATACACTTCTTTTGACGTTTGCTGGGTTTACACATAAATCTAGACAAACATTTCAAAAGGTCCTATCTGTCATTGAAGCTGATTGGAGAAAAATTGATTTGAACTTTTGCAATATATTTTTAAATGCCTTTTTTAATTACGACATAAAACGATAATCTTTTGTATTCTCAAATGCATAGGAAACACATAGAATTCGACTGAAGTGTATGTTTCTTCGTTTTATTCATAATTTTCAGGTTTAATTCGTGGTTTTGTTACATAGGACCTTTGGCTTTTTTCTGTATCAGTTAGGACCTGTCAAATTGGTCTGATTGCAAAGTTTATGTTACTTAGGACCTTGGTAAGAATACGGTTTAGAGGTCAGATAATTACAACTACATCATTATTTGTAATTGCTGATGGGCTTAAAACTACTATTCTGCCAATTTATTAAGTAAACTACGTTTATAATAAGAACTTGTCCATTATTTTTTTCTGATGTATGCAGGAAAAATGTAAGTGTATGGAAAATTTGCATATTTTTTAATATTCGGTATATTTTTATAAACAAACTCTGTTTTTTCATTCTACATCATTCGTTTTACATTTATTAGCTCAAGCTGTTCATCAATAATTTAGATTCATTCATGTTATTCGATCAAATCTACATCACTGTCCTCCAGTGGATTGAGATCCACATCAAAGTGGTCTACAACCGTATTATTGTTCTTCTTCCTGTTTTTTCTGTTGCAATGTTGCAAAATAATCTTTTTGCTTGACATATGGCATCAGTTTGCGTAAATCGTCCAATTTAGCACTTGGCAATTCAAGTGGTTGATCCGCAATTGGATCGAAATCCTCGTCCAAATTCACGCTTGTAATATCGCATGTCGGATTTGACAGAATTTTGAATAAGCTTTTGTCTTGGTGTACTCCTGGAATCGCAATTAATTCGTCAACTCCATACCAGAAGCAGAGCGATTGATTACAGGCATCGTAAATGAAACTTTCTCATATCCCACTTCCCAGTTAGATGTTGGATCCATAGGAATTTCTAAAACTTCATGTTCGTATTAGTATAGCATTTCCAACTAACTATTATGAGTTTTAGTTTTTCTATTCCACGTGAAACACGAGATGAAACAAAGGTCCTAATAGCATTTGTATTTTTTTTGGTTGAATGACAGATTGGACTGTAAACATTTTTAAGGTCCAATCAGAGAGCTGTGCGATGTTATAAAAAACTTTCAAATTGGACGTTTTTTTCACATATTTTTATAATTTTCTGAATATTGATAATTAAAATTTCTAGAACAATAGAGTTCTCTACCACCGTTAGTATTAGTGAGAAGTTTCACTAATACATGCATTTTACTGGTTGAAAATAAAAAAACAAACCGCTGTCAAGTCGAACACTTTGACAGCTGATTTCATGGTTGAAAATAATAAACAAACCGATTTTACAGGGCTGCCCTAGCTAGGTTGTATAAGTGAGATGTTGCGTCGAGAAGTCAATACTTAGAGATGGTGAGCTCTGCAGTACAGAGAAGCATTAAACTCGATTTGTTTACAAATGTCAGATAGGACCTTTTGAAATGTTTATCTAGAAATGTGTAAACGCAGTTTACACATTTTATGAGTAGACCCCTTTTTTAACGAATGTGTGAAATTTTACACATTAATGTGTTTACGCTATAGTCGCTATATTCATAGTCTGGCGGATAGAATTTCGATCTATCAAAAAGTGGAACCAATTCAATATATTTTAGACCAACAATGGAAAAGGTACTATCAACATTTATAAACAAACGTAAATTATTCTTTCCACGCCAATCGAACGCAAACTACCGGCATCACCGGATAAGGGAAACTTTCCACAACCCAAAGATGATATTAGTTTGCGTAGGCGAGCTTTGAGTCACGAGAAAATGGTTTCCGACGTTTTGTTCGCAATAGCTGATGTGCTCTTTTCTGTTGTTAGTCGTGATTTGCTCAATTGGTTCCGCTATTTGACAGCTCAATTGGTTCCCGAGATTCTATCCGCCAGACTATGAATATAGCGACTATAGTTTACGCTAGTTACCATGTATGTAAAAAGGGATGGCAGATATAATGTGCATTTTCTTTTATTTGTTTGGTTAATCTCTAATAGAACTCTAGCACCAGCTAATAGTACATTCAAACTAAAGAGCCTGAATTTGTAAAGAGACGACATGTCAAAATTGGAACAATCGATTGTCTGTCAAATCAGGAAAAGTCATTCCTATCGAGCAGGATGGATAAGATGTTGCCTCTTTATAAATTCAGGCCCTTTAATTCAAACTATAGCAGATATGGAGCTGTTCATAAACTACGTAGACATTTTTTGGGATTCTTGACCCCCCCCCCACACTCCCCTGCGTAGACAATTGTCCATACAAAATAATTTAAATTTGTATGGGCCGTGGATAATTGCCAGTTTAGACTGAAAGTTTCGAAGTGGCTACGAGAATTAGGATCTCACCTTAAGGGAGAGTGGAAACACTTTATCCTGTCCTCATTTTGAATATATCTCTGCGCAAACATCAATTTTGGACGCGTGTTTTGCATTGATTTAATAGGGGAAATGACGGCATTGGCACTTCTTTATCTATTATGGTCTGGGGTAAAAGAAGTCTTCGAGTATTAATTTGATTGCAAGACGATCCTCTGGAATATGATGCACCTTCATGCAATAAATAGGTGTTCAAGGACCTTCTAGTCTATACACCTAGTGTCCTTCCCGTTGCACTCGTCAGCTCAGGATCAATCTACCATCTTCAAACCTAGCTAATAAATTATCAAGCTAAAGCTTCATATTAAATAGCATTTCCAACCAACTCTGAAAATTGTAAACTTCACTTTACTAAGGTAATTCAGACATGTTGTGAATTCCTATGTAGGAACAATTTCAAAATTACAGACTGACTAAGCTTGACTATGTTGGGACTACGCATTTCTTTTCACATTTTGGGACTGACACTTTGAGTGTGATTTCAAGTTTAGAAACTTTTCAAAAAGTAATACTATACTGTTAGCTACTGATTCCGATCTCCTTCTATGGATGCTCCTGTGGGCTGCAGCTCGCTGCTTGCAGGCAGCCTTTCATTGTGTACTGGAGAACAATGTTCAACGCCACGCGCCGAAAGCACTGCTGCTGCTGATCCCGACGACCGGACACCACTACACACGGTGATTGGAACTAAATTCGATCAGCGGTTGTGCCTTGATAGCTAGCTGCTTGCGAGAGCCTTTCGTACTAGAGAACACCACAACTCAGCACGCGGTAATTGATTGAGACCGGATGGAATTCAACTTTGAAAAGTGTGTTAGGGAAATCGCTTTTCGCAGGCAATCGATGATAATTTTAATTATCATAGCAACAGTTTCACATTCGTGCAATTTTTAATAGTGGCATGTTGGAAAATGATAGTTATTTATTATTTCTAATCGATTGGTGTTAAAATTATTGAAATTGGTCCAGGGACAACTGAGTTATTAACGTTCAAAATCTTTCATAATTTTGTTACATGTTCCATTTTTTGTTTTCACAAGGGGTACACTTTAAAGAAATCAGAGACGTAGTCCTACGTCAAAAAAACATCCGAAAACTTAAACATGTCCGAAAAAAGGAAAAGTTAAGAATCAGAATTAAAAATAAATTTAATGGTGGGCTTGGGAGTAGCTAAAATTTAGAATCTCAGACATGAATTAATATTGATAATCTAAATAAATAAGTTCCCTCCCCTCTATTTTAATACCTGCCGCTTGAATTAATCAATTAAGAAAGCGGTGTCATCTTCACGATTTGCCAAGGGCGCAGCAAACCTTTGCTTAGCCATTTGAAGAATTTGCACTAACACCATGAACATATAAACAGTGAACAAGGAAATTACACTTACCTGCAATATGAGGAGGTAGAATTGCACGATACTCTAGACCAGAAGCTTTCACCACATCCAACATCCGTTTATGATCCGCATTTAGTTCAGCAAACATTTTTGGAACCTTATCCGGTTCGAAAAATAGAAATGACGACAAACAAACGGATACATTTTTCAAATTTGCCGCCTTCATAGCATTTACAATGTTTTGCATTCCAGTTGACATCATTGTTGTTGACTTCAGATCGTTTCGTGTGCCCAGAACAACACAAACTAATTCTTGGTCTTTAATTGCGTTGGCTACATCGTCTGAGTTGACTACATCGCCCTTAACCAGTTCAACTTGGCTTCTGAAGGAATCTGGAACTGTTACTTCATTACGTATCATTAGGCGAACCTTGAGACCTATTTGATGTATAATTACTGATTAAATATGCTTAATGTGATTGCAATGCATATATTCACCTTTTTCAAGAGCGTACTTGACTGCACATTGACCGGTCATTCCTGTACCTCCAAATATGACAATTTTTTGCATTCTTCACTTTGAGTAATGGGAAAAATTGATGCAGAATAAGACACTGAAATAGTTAGAGCTTTTAAATATATATATATATGCCTATAAGTTGAAAATTATTCCTGCTAGATAATTGCCAGGTATTACTTACACAAAATCCAAACTTTTATTCACAATGCAATAATAATTCAGCTAAATGTCAAGTGCTGATAAAACCGCACAGATATCTGATAAGGTTATCCACCTTCACGGTAACCAGCGTAAACACATAAATCAGTAAAAAAAAATACACATTTTTTTTATATTTATATGCAATTGTCAAAAAATGTGTAAATTTAGAGATCCTATAATGTGTAAAAAAATACACATTTTAAGAATGTAGTACCAGTCAAAAAATGTGTATTTTTATACTCATTAATGGGTAAAAATAAACTTCTGCTTCGTTGATGAACGCCATTTACCTACACGGTAACCAGCGTAAACACATTAATGTGTAAAAAAATACACATTTTTTATGTTTATATGCAGCTGTCAAAAAATGTGTAAATTAAAATACACATTTTAAGAATGTAGTACCAGTCAAAAAATGTGTATTTTAATACTCATTAATGGGTAAAAAAACTTCAAAACTTGCTGCATACTGCTTCGTTGATGCACGCCATTTGCCTAAGCGAATAAATTTCAGCAATTTTAGGCAAAGGATGAGGAACTACGTTCCAAATTTAAAGAGCAACGATGGACAAGCTAGAGGGTAAGTGGTTTATATTATTTTCATAGCTTAGCCCTAGAAAAAAAAAACATTTTTAAGTTTTTCATTGCCCGCTGTCTGGCTGTGATTTTTTTTAAATTAAATTGTATTCAATGCAATCCGAGCAATCTTTATTTAATCATTGGCACAAATAAGAAAACTCCATTCGTCCCCATCATATTAAAATTCTATAAATGATTACTTTTTACACATTTTGCAGTAAAAACCGTACTTGAAAAATGTGTAAAAAATACACTTCTTTTGACGTTTAATGGGTTTACACATAAATATGTAAACGCAGTTTACACATTTTATGAGTAGACCCCTTTTTTTCACGAAATGTGTGAATTTTTACACATTAATGTGTTTACGCTGGTTACCGTGTAAGCGAACAACCTTCAGCAATTCGCCTTGACACCAGTCCCGAATATAGTCGCTATATTCATAGTCTGGCGGATAGAATCTCGGGAACCAATTGAGCTGTCAAATAACGGAACCAATCGAGCAAATCACAACCAATAACAGAAAAAGAGCACATCAGCTATTGCGAACAAAAATTCGGAAACTCTTTTCTCGTGACTCAAGACTCGCCTACGCAAACTAACACCATCTTTGGGTTGAGGAAAGTTTCCCCTATCCGATGATGCCGGTAATTTGTAATCGATTGGCGAGGAAGCATAATCAACGTTTTGTTTATTAAAGTGGATAGTACCTTTTCAATTGTTGGTCTAAAATATATTGAATTGGTTCCGCTTTTTGATTGCTCGAAATTCTATCCACCAGACTATGAATATAGCGACTATAGTCCCGAAGTGACGTTTCTTCACACACATTTTGACAGTTCCTTATGGGGTTTTGCGTTGAAGTGAGAGAATAAGAAAAAGTCCGCCATGTTTCACACATAGACTGACAGTTACATATGAGATTTCTCCATAGGAGTAAAGAGTTACAGAGCTCTCGTCAACGCCAATTTTAACAGAAAATTGGAGAAACTATGGTCCAAACCGAGGTCCAAACTGTAACAGAGCAACGGTGGACAAGCTAGAGGGTAAGTGATTTATATTATTTTCATAGCTAAGCCCTAGAAAAATAATCATTATTAAGGTTATCATTGTCCGGTGTCTGGCTGTGATTTTTTTTAAATAAAATATTACTGAATCCGATCAATCTTTATTTTAACATTGACACAATTAAGAAAACTCCGATATTATTATAAAAAAAACATGCGTCCTTATCATATTTAATTTCTTTGAATGATAACTTTTTACACATTTTGCAGTAAAAACCGTTCTTGAAAAATACACTTCTATTGACGTTTGATGGGTTTACACATTTTTATGAGTAGACCCCTTTTTCACGAAATGTGTGAAATTTTACACATTAATGTGTGCTGGTTACCGTGTAGGAAATTTAATATGGATTTTAGAATTTATGTATGCTACCAAAATGTATGAATGGTCTGCCACTAAATGTTAAGATAATTTATTGATTATGGAATTGTCACAATTTATACCATGAAAAAGCAGCCTGTTTGTGAGTTTTTGCCTGTTTTGAAGTAAGCAGTTCTAAAAAAAAAAAAAACCAAATATCCAGCTGATACTTCCCGACGACATTACAAAAAAATACAAGCAAGCAAAATCATCATGCAGAAATAGATAAAATTTGTTTTCCTTCTTATTTCGCAAAATTGCTTTTTATGACGTCGTCACTAGAAACACTCAGAGGGAGAGATAGGCGGAGAAAACAAAATACAATTCGGCAGCAGGGATTTGTTCCTAAATTATCTTGCAACCCTTGATAGAAACTAGCATTTCAATTGATTTTTATTTTTGATTCGATTTACGTGCAAAATAATAATTGATTGCATTGCAATATTTTGCACATTTCTTGGTGCCATTTATTAACCAACGAAGATCAATTAAGAGTTAGAATATTGTTTTTGGTTCCAAAAACTAGTTGAATTTGAGAAGCACACAAAACATAAAGGTGATTGAATTTCTGTTCGATTGCAATATGTACTCTCAAATTTATTCTAGTAAGAATAAGAAATCCTCGTAAAAATTCTAATTGGAATCATGGTGGGTATATAAATGGTGATACAGCTTTGTCACTATACATATAGGTAGAGTCGGTGTATAATGAGTCACGCCAAGAGAAAAATAGTTGAACTCACATCACGGTTTTCGAAAGATTACAATTCTTTTCACTTGGCAACAGAGGACTTCTACAACAACTTCAACTGACTTCTAGCGAGAGACAAAATACTGCGGCTGTAGTAAATCATTATATCAGTGATTTTGTCAAATTATCTTAACAAAAAATAGTAGAAATTCTCATTACTAATCATTACAATTTAACGCTCACTGCGTGTTTATGCTTATTCTTCGATTGTATTTTATATTTTATAGCAATACCTTTCGTGAACCTTTCATAGCACCGTAATGTTTATTTACTTTGCACGATAGGTAGCCGCTTTGACAGTTCAATAGGTAGACTTGGCTTCACTCTTGGCGTGACTCATTATACACCGACTTTACATATAGGCAAGGAGGTCGCGGGCGATGTGCGGTATAAGAGGTGAGGAGAAAGGAAACACGTTAATAAACTTTATTTTCCAATATAATAAAAAATATTTCGTTGTCCTGTTAAAATCGCCGTCAAGACGCGTTGGCAAAGTTTATAGCTGGAATAGACCAAATCTAGATAAACATTTCAAAAGGTCCTATCTGCATTGATCGATTCTCTTCATCGACTTTCTCTTTCGTCAATAGCTCAGCTGCAAAACTTTCCCCTGTTGTATTTGACATTTTGGACGCTAGATAAGTACCTTCTTTATCAAACTATGTGGTAGAATTAGCGCGAAATCTGTTTGCATAGCAGTGGTTATGAAAAGAGAAAGTCGATGAAGAGAATCGATCAAAGCAGATAGGACCATTTGAAATGTTCATCGAGAAATCATCGTTGTTCGCGTTGTTGACCAGCTTACACGGTAACCAGCGTAAACACATTAATGTGTAAAAATTCACACATTTCGTGAAAAAAGGGGTCTACTCATAAAATGTGTAAACTGCGTTTACACATTTATGTGTAAACCCATCAAACGTCAAAAGAAGTGTATTTTTTACACATTTTTCAAGTACGGTTTTTACTGCAAAATGTGTAAAAAGTAATCATTTATAGAATTTTAATATGATGGGGACGAATGGAGTTTTCTTATTTGTGCCAATGATTAAATAAAGATTGCTCGGATTGCATTGAATACAATTTAATTTAAAAAAAAAATCACAGCCAGACAGCGGGCAATGAAAAACTTAAAAATGTTTTTTTTTCTAGGGCTAAGCTATGAAAATAATATAAACCACTTACCCTTTAGCTTGTCCATCGTTGCTCTTTAAATTTGGAACGTAGTTCCTCATCCTTTGCCTAAAATTGCTGAAATTTATTCGCTTAGGCAAATGGCGTGCATCAACGAAGCAGTATGCAGCAAGTTTTGAAGTTTTTTTTACCCATTAATGAACATTAAAATACACATTTTTTGACTGGTACTACATTCTTAAAATGTGTATTTTTCACACATTTTGAGATCTCCTAATTTACACATTTTTTGACAGCTGCATATAAACATAAAAAATGTGTATTTTTTTACACATTAATGTGTTTACGCTGGTTACCGTGTACACGGTAACCAGTGTAAACACATTAATGTGTAAAATTTCACACATTTCGTGAAAAAAGGGGCCTACTCATAAAATGTGTAAACTACGTTTACACATTTATGTGTAAACCCAGCAAACGTCAATAGAAGTGTATTTTTTACACATTTTTCAAGAACGGTTTTTACAGCGAAATGTGTAATAAGTAATCATTTCTAGAACTTAAATATAATGGGTGCGCATGGTTTTTTATTAACTTCGGACTTTTCTTATTTGTGTCAATGATAAAATAAAGATTGCTCGAATAAAATAATATTTTATTTAAAAAAAAAAGGAATGCCATCAGAAAATCAGTAGTGGCACCGGTGGTGTAGAGATAAGCGTGATTACCTCTTACCCCAGCAGGCCTGGGTTCAATCCCACCGCTGGGATGTTCTGAGGCATAACATCTCTGATCACGCCGAGAATCACGCCTCCCTTCGGAAGGGAAGTGAAGCCATTGGTCCCCGGTTCATGAGTTGATGGATCGAACGGGAAGGATCCAGGTGTGGGAGCTGCCTTTCTGTCGTCAGTAGCATTGGTACTCAGCACAGAAAAACAAATCAAGGAAAAAAACAAAAAATCAGTATGAAGCAAGCAAGCGACACACCGGACACTGAATGATTTTTTTTTTCTAAAACTTAATTATGAAAAAAGTATTAATCACCTACCGTCTAGTACGTCCATCGTTGCACTGTCCAGCTTGGAACATAGTTCCTTCATTTTCCGTTAAACAGGAAATATATACAAATGGCGTCTTGTTTACGCAGG